AAAAGCAGCGGGAACGAGGGGGATTCTGCAGAAATGTTAAAGCGGGGGGGATAAGTGTTGGGTGGTGGTACTTTTGTTAAAAAATGTATAAAAGAGGGGAAGGTACCTGGGTTTGGGCAGAGAGCATGATAGTCCCTTTTAAAAAGGGGAAAAGGGGAAAAAGGACTTAAAAAAATTATAGAGGAAAAAGCTTACTGAGTTACCGGAAAAGTTACGGTAGGGTTTAATTAAAAAATTAAGGAAAACAAAATGTAGGTTTGCGGATGACAAGGGGTTTTTAGAGTGGGTGGGGGATGTTTGATCAGGGTTTACTTGAGCATATATGTGAACTATTTAGAAAAAGATAGGAAGTTTTTATTGCTTTTTTGGTTTTAGAAAAGGCAAATGATAGAGTGGATAGAGGAGCAATGTGCAGATGTTGCAAGTTTTGGGAAATTTTGGGGGTAAGTTTTTAAAATGCTGTAAAGATTTTTTATGGGGATAGTGGGGCTCAGGTTAGGGTGTGTAAAAAGAGAGGAGACTACCCCCGGTAAAATGGTCTTAGAAGGGATGTGAATGTCACCCTGGTTGTTTAATATATTTTAAAAATGGGGTTGAAAGGAAGTAAAAAGCTAGGGTGTTTGGGGGAGGGGTGGGATTTAAAATTTGGAAATCAAATTCAAAATGGGAATTGCCAAATTACTTTTTTCTATGTACTGTGCTTTTGGGAGTTCTAAAGAAAAATTTCAAAGGGTAGTGGATGGTTTGGGAATGTGTGTAAAGGTGAAGTGAAAATGAAATGAAAAGAGTAAGGTGTGAGGGTGTCAATGATTAGATAAAGAAAAATTGGATATCAAATTGGGGGGGAGGAGTATGGAGAAGTGAAAGTTTTCAGGGTACTGGGGGTTGATGTCGGCGGTGGATTATGAAGGTGAGGTTTTAATCTAGAATTTTATTGGGGAAAAAAGGTGAGTGGTGCGTTGAGGTTATGTGGGTCAAAAAACGTTTTCTATGGAGGCAAAGAAGGGAATGTATGAAAGTAAGTAGTACCAACACTCTTATATGGGTGTGAAGCTTGGGGGTAAATGCAGCAGCGAGGAGACGGTTGGAGGCAGCGGAGATGTCCTGTTTAAGGGCAATGTGTGGTGTAAATATTATGCAGAAATTCGGAGTGTGGAAATTAGGAGAAGGTGTGGATTTAATAAAAGTATTAGTCAAGGGCAGAAGAGGGGTTGTTGAGGTGGTTTGGTCATTTAGAGAGAAGGGAAATCACAGTAGAATGACAGGGAAAAGCATATAATCTATAGGGGAAGGAAGGCGGGGTAGGGGTCGTCCTCGAAAGGGTTGGAGAGAAGGGGGTAAAGGAGGTTTTGTGGTAAGGGGCTTGGACTTCCAAGCAAGCGTGCGTGAGCGTGTTAGATAGGAGTGAAGGGAGACGAATGGTACTTGGGACCTGACGTTTCTGTTGGAGTGTGAGCAGGGTAATATTTAGTGAAGGATTCAGGGAAACCGGTTATTTTCATATAGTCGGACTTGAGTCCTGGAAATGGGAAGTACAATGCCTGCACTTTAAAGGGGGGGTTTGGGATATTGGCAGTTTGGAGGGATATGTTGTGTATCTTTATATGTTTTATGCTTCTAGACTGTTGTTTCTGAGCACCTCTGCAAAAACAGTGAAATGTGCGAGTGTGGTGAAGTGTTGAATGATGATGAAAGTATTTTCTTTTGGGGATTTTCTTTCTTTTTTGGGTCACCCTGCCTCGGTGGGAGACGGGCCCACTTGTTGAAAAAAAAAAAAAAAAAAAAAATAATAATAATAAAAAATAACATATATATATTTTTTTTTCAACAAGTTGGCCGTCTCCCACCGAGGGAGGGTGACCCCAAAAAAAAAAGAAATCCCCAAAAAGAAATGCTTTCATCATCATTCAACACTTTCACCACACTCCACATAATCACTGTTTTTGAAAAGGTGCTCAGAATACAACAGTTTAGAAGCATATACGTATAAAGATACACAAAATATCCCTCCAAAACTGCCAATATCCCAAACTCCTCCTTTAAAGTGCAGGGATTGTACTTCCCATTTCCAGGACTCAAGTCTGACTATATGAAAATAACCGGTTCCCTGAATCCCTTCACTAAATATTACCTGCTCACACTCCAACAGATCATCAGGTCCCAAGTACCATTCACCTCCATTCATCCTATCTAACACGCTCATGCACGCTTGCTGGAAGTCCAAACCCTTGCCCACAAAACCTCCTTTACCCCCTCTCTCCAACCCTTTTGAGGAGACCCCTACCTCGCCTTCCTTCCCCTATAGATTTATATGCTTTCCCTGTCATTCTACTTTGATCCATCTTTCTAAATGACCAAACCACCTTAACAACCCCTCTTCTGCCCTCTGACTAATACTTTTTTTAACTCCACACCTTTTCCTAATTTCCACACTCCGAATTTTCTGCACAATATTTACACCACACATTGCCCTTAGACAGGACATCTCCACTGCCTCCAACCGTCTCCTCGCTGCTGCATTTACCACCCAAGCTTCACACCCATCTAAGAGTGTTGGTACTACTATACTTTCATACATTCCCTTCTTTGCCTCCATAGATAATGTTTTTTGACTCCACATATACCTCAATGCACCACTCACCTTTTTTCCCTCATCAATTCTATGATTAACCTCATCCTTCATAAATCCATCCGCCGACAACGTCAACTCCCAAGTATCTGAAAACATTTACTTCTTTCCATACTACTACTCCCCAATTTGATATCCATTTTTTCTTTATCTAAATCATTTGATACCCTCATCACCTTACTCTTTTCTATGTTCACTTTCAACTTTCTACCTTTACACACATTCCCAAACTCATCCACTAACCTTTGCAATTTTTCTTTAGAATCTCCCACAAGCACAGTATCATCAGCAAAAAGTAACTGTGTCAATTCCCATTTTGAATTTGATTCCCCATAATTTAATCCACCCCTCTCCCAAACACCCTAGCATTTACTTCCTTTACAACCTCATCTATAATATATTAAACAACCATGGTGACATTACACATCCCTGTCTAAGACCTACTTTTACCGGGAAGTAGTCTCCCTCTCTTCTACACACCCTAACCTGAGCCTCACTATCCTCATAAAAACTTTACAGCATTTAATAACTTACCACCTATTCCATATACTTGCAACATCTGCCACATGGCTCCTCTATCCACTATCACATGCCTTTTCTAAATCCATAAATGCAATAAAAACTTCCCTACCTTTATCTAAATACTGTTCACATATATGCTTCAATGTAAACATTTGATCTACACATCCCCTACCCACTCTGAAACCTCCTTGCTCATCCGCATCCTACATTCTGTCTTACCTCTAATTCTTTCAATTATAACCCTACCGTACACTTTTCCTGGTATACTCAGTAAACTTATTCCTCTATAATTTTTAGTCTCTTTTGTCCCCTTTCCCTTTATATAAAGGGACTATACATGCTCTCTGCCAATCCCTAGGTACCTTCCCCTCTTTCATACATTTATTAAACAAAAGTACCAACCACTCCAACACTATATCCCCCCCTGCTTTTAACATTTCTGTCATGATCCCATCAGTTCCAGCTGCTTTACCCCCTTTCATTTTACGTAATGCCTCACGTACCTCCCCCACACTTACATTCTGCTCTTTTTCACTCCTAAAAGATGGTATACCTCCCTGACCAGTGCATGAAATTACTGCCTCTCTTTCTTCCTTAACATTTAAAAGTTCCTCAAAATATTCTCGCCATCTACCTAATACCTCCATCTCCCCATCTACTAACTCCCCTACTCTGTTTTTAACTGACAAATCCATACTTTCCCTAGGCTTTCTTGTTTAACTCACTCCACTTTAAACTTTGGATTCTTTCATAAAGGATTAGTAACTATAGGATTTCTTTAATCAAGTTGAAATGAGGCAGCCTCAACTTCCAGAATTTTTCAACAAAATGCGAGCATTTATGAAGTAAACAGGGAAAATGTGGAGTTTAGGGAATTAACCCTTTCACTGTTGAGAGCCCTGCTCACAAACTTGCTCTGTCTATAAAAAAAAAAAAACCAACTAGAAGTTACCGAGATTCTGAGGTGTGAAGCTGACAAAGTGAGCCGCTTACGACAACATCAGCGACTGCCACTCACTAATTGTTTTTACATTTATTTGATTTTTTCTTTTCTAATATTTTTTTTTTCAAGTAACTTTTGTGGCCTGTGAGACCAACATAACGCATAATGTATATACGTCCACTCGTTGTATGCAACACAATAACCGCACAAATATTATCATTAGAGTTTACAAAATTGGTTTACACAAACCCATGCTGTCTTCCCCACCACCCACGCTGGAAATAATTCGACTTTTTTGGGTTACCCTAGGTTCTCTACACATGTTGCTATGTATGATAATCAATGTAACTGTATTTGAAGAAACTTACACGCTGTCTTCCCCACCACCCGTGCTGTCTTCCCTCTTCACTCTCTGTATCTGGTACTTTTGGTCACAAACTCCTCAAAACCATAAAATTCATCTTCACTGACACTTCTGTCAGTGTTAGAACTATCACTTGGGAGCAGAAGAGTCCCAAATTTGCCACTAGGCATGGTGAACAAGGCGTACTGAATTGGCACTCCCACAATGCACTGTGGCCTCCAGATTTTTTTTGTTCATACTGCACACATACATCCATTCTCTAACATGTAGGCCTACCAGCTTTCTCTCACCAGATCTGAAGCCACTAGAATATTGGCCCCGCAATATTATGGGACCGATAGTAAAAGGGTTAAGAGTACATATATAATAAGTTTCGTCTCCTTGGGGGTTTCTCCAATTTGTCAAGCATACAATACACTGATGTTTCATCATAATAATGAAAATGATAGCTAAAAGGTAGAGCAGCAGCATTAAACTGTAACAAGAAAACTACCCCTACAATAGTGCTTTTAAGAGTAAAAGATCAACCTCAGAATACTAACCCCTTCATAGGGCCGCCAGAATCCCTATCACCATCACGATCTCCATAGCCACCACGGCCTCTGAAACCACCTCGTCCACCTCTATCACCACCACGACCTCTAAAACCTCCACGATCTCCTCGCCCCCTGAATCCACCTCTAAACCCACCGCCACCACCGCCACTGCCTCCATCTGAAAAAAGAATTTAAAATATTTATAATAAAACTACCAAGGCAATTAAAATTAAGCAACAAGAGATTTATACATGTTCAGCAAGTACTGTACATATAAGATAGTTCATCCTTATTACATTAGAACTCACCATCATCACCACCTAATCCAGCAGGCTTTGGCTCATTACACCGATTACAGCTATTACGCCAGGCGAAATTATTATTGCCACAACTTGGTACAGGGCATCTCCAATCACCTGCACGTCCTGACACAAATGGTTTATCAATTAGTAAGTGCATGATTAATTTTTATATAGTCACCTGCATGCATTAATACCTATTTTCAATTAATTTAAGGTATGATTATGCAAAACAAAATATATAGTTCATGGAGAGCTTTGGCAATAACGCACCCCGGCCACCACTAGGAGGGCCATCACGGCTATCACGGTCGCCTCCTCCACCACCACGGCCTGGAGGACCACCACGACGTTCAAAGCCTCTGTCACCACCACCACCACCACCCCCTCCACGTCCTCTGCCACCGCTACCACCCCTATCTCCACTTTCACCACCAAAGCCACCGCGTCCACGTTCATAACTGCTCTTTGGTCTCTCAGCCATTTGAACCTGATGAAAACAATAACTATCAATCATGTAAAATATAGTATTGATTTCAAATAATTTTCATTAAATCTTGAATAATTTCAATTTTCCTTTCAACAAATACTATCTGTACATTCATATTACCTTGACTGTGCGTCCCATGAAGAGTTTTCCATCAAACCACTGTATGGCAGATTTAGCAGTGAAGGGATCATCAAATGTGACTGTGCACTCTCCCTTCATACGTCCTGTAGCTTTGTCCTTGTACATCCAAATCTTTGGTCTCTGTGTTCTCTTGTCCATCTGAAAATAATTTTTAATCTATAAATACATAAATATATACAGCAAGCGTGTGTGACCATGTTAGATAGGAGTGAATCGAGACTAATGGTTTTTGGGACCTGATAAGCTGTCGAGTGTGAGCAGGGTAATATTTTGAAGAGATTCAGGGAAACCCGTTATCTGGGCTTGAATGCTGGAAATGGGAATTATAATGCCTGCACTTTTAAAACCTAGTTCAGAGAGAGATTGCACACGTTTATATATACAACATCCAGCAAGCATGTTAGGAGCGAGTGGAGGAAAATGCTTTTTGGAACTTCGAGTTGTTAGTGTGAGTAGTTAACGTTTTGTGAAGAGATTTGGGTAACCAGTTAGCCAGACTCGAGTCCTGGAGGTGGGAAGTACAGTGCCTGTACTCTTATAAAAGGGGCTTGGGCTATTTGCTGTTAGAGGGACATCTAAACTGTCATATCTGCACACCTCTGGCAAGACAATGGTGGGCATGATGGTGTGTTTCCTTTTAGGTTCACCATACCTTGGTGGGAGACAGCCAGTGTGTAGAAAAAAATATTGTATATTTATAAACACATTTACTATGACTCATTCAAATGCTGTCTTGCCAGAGCACATAACACCACAATTAAAATGACCTTCCAAACTGCAACACCCCAGTTTTCTTTCATCCCTTCATAAAGGTTATCTTGCACACATGCTAAATAGTGAATACTAATTGCACTATGCATTGCTTTTTTTTACTTTATTAATATATCGGCTGTTTCTCACCAAGGCAGGGTGGCCCAAAAAAGAAACTTTCATCGATCACCATCAGTGCCATGCCAGAGGCAAGCTCACACTACAGTTATATAGCTGCAACATTAACACCCCCTCCTTCAGACTGCAAGCACTGTACTTCCCACCTCCAAGACTAAAGTCTGGCCTACCAGTTTCCCTGAATCCCTTCATAAATGTTACTTTGCTCACAATCCAACAGCATTTCAATCCTAAAAGAAATTTGTCTCCACTCATTCCTATCTAACACGCTCATGCAGGTTTGCTGAAAGTCCAAGAACCTCATACACAAAAAACCTTTAACTTTTCCCCTCAACCTTTCCTAGGCCAACCCCAACCCACCCTTCCCTCCACTACAGATTTACATGCTCTTGAAGTCATTCTATTTCATTCCATCCTCTCAATGTCCAAACCATCCCAACAGCCCCTCCTCAGCCCTCTGGATAACCCCCATGCCTCCTAATTTCCAAGCTACGGATTCTCTACATTATGTTCACACCACACATTGCCCTCAGACAACAGCTCCACTGCCTCCAGCCTTCTTGTTGCAACATTCACCATCCGTGTTTCACACCCACATAAGAGCATTGGTATAACTATGCTCTCATACATTCCCTTCTTTGCTTCCATGGATATTATTATTTGGCTGTATTACTTTTGTCAAGTATATTTTTTCCTTTTTACATCACATCTCTAATCACAATCCAAACCACAGACTTACAGGTACGTAAAACATTACCTTAATTATTCCAATAGAGCCAAAATGGTCCTTTATTTCATCTTCTGTTGCAGTTGGAGGCATGCCTGAGACAAATATGGTGTCCTCTTGCATCACCAAATCCGCTGAGTCACCACGAAAGCGATCACCACCACCGCCGCCACCACCACGGCTGTCACCATCAAACCGGCTCCCCCCGTAGCTCCCACTGCCATCTTCTGCACGCCGATAGACAACCGAATTAGCCCAATGACACACAGGTTCAGGAAGGAATGTGTACGTGCTAGTCAATGGCAATGTCAGAGGGCACTTTTAACTTAACAAAAAATCCAGTGAATACCTGAATGCCCTATAGCCAGAAGTCTACATTGACTAACACGCACTACCAATTCTAGTAGAAAAACGTAAACTGAATGCAGATATATTGAAAACTTAACTGTCTGAGAGTGCAAATGAGTAACATAAATCCCAACTCAGGATTACAATATGAAAATTTTAATGCTGGCCAAGTACCTAAATATTAAATTTGCACATTAAAGCCAAGTTAAGTTTGCTATACTACTAAAAACCAAGTACCACTGCCCACCTAGGAGGGTTTCCCTACTTTCAAAACAAGTCAAATTTGGATCGTATTCATGAGCTAAACCCATATACACAAACACTAATCACAACAGATACTTATACCAAATATCTGAACGTATACCAGCAGGTGTATGAGCAGCACACTACTATGGTTCGAGTCAGATCCCAGGTTTAGACTCAATCACCCACCCACAGGTTCCACCTTTTATATAACTGACCATTATTTATTCAGCTATCACAAGGCTTACTTCCAGTTTACAGTTTTTATTCATCCCAGCAAATTTTATCATTTGATCAAATATGACACAACTTACTCATACCTAAACCACACATCACACAAAACACCCAATATTACCAAGGAATGGCTTTCATAAATGGGCATAAAGATCATTACCGTTTAAAGACCTTAGTTGAGAATTGAATGGCATAAACGATACTTTCTAAACCAAAATGTTTAATATGAAGTTTCACACTTTATAATTAAGAAATTCAGTATACCATGTCATGTTCAGTATTCTTAAAAGTACCCCAATAACAAGTAAACCATCTACTGATTTTGTAATTTATACCGTATTATGTACTGGAATTTATTCCCCAATATATTTTACCTTGAAATAAACTTAAAACACTTCATCCTTAAATGCACATTTTAAAGTACTGTACCATCAATACCTTTAAGAACCCATTATTAAATGAACACATTTTGTCTTGGCCTTGCCAACTTCACTAATACCAATTCCATTAAACTGTACCTCAGCCATTACTGTATATTACCACAGGCTAAAATGTACCACACCGTCTAAGAGGGCACACACTGATTACGACCCAATGTAACAAACTGGCTGTGATAATCTAATTATACACTTGAAGCCTAGAAACATAAATGCTTATCCTCAATCATTCAAGCAGATTTATATCAGGAAAGAAATAACATTTGATGTTCATAAGGTTCACAAGTCTTTACAATTGAGGATATGCAATTACAAACAGACCACACCATAGTCTCAAATGAAACCAATATTTCAATGTTTTTAATATTAATCATGCAAAAAAATTAAGTGTAACAAGGCTCACTTTTGAGACCACAGTGCATTCTTTAGGCAAAGATCACACTTTAGCTAGCAACATAAGTGATGCTGGGGAGAGAGAGATCTTGCACCTAAGGTGGTCTGCATTTGCAAAACTGAGGAAAAACCACAAGCACCTACAGGTGCCGTTACCTTTGTTATAACCTCTCCCTTGATCCTGCCTGTAAGAAGACACTTTTGAGATCAGCAGCTCTGTTGGCACGAAGTTTGTCATTTTGTCGAGCAGTCACACAGTTGAGTAGTCAGTCGTCAAGTCAGTGAGAGTTGAAAAACCAGAGTAACAAGCATTCCAATGCATACATGGTTAATACATTCATGCAACTGTATGTCTTGTTAAACTGGAAAAATGAAGGAGGCATGATCATTCATGTGTTATAACACATGAAGACCAGACTGTCACCTGGCAGTACATTATCTTGAGCTGAAAGTCTTAATAAAGTCAGCTTGATTTACAGGCGAGCAGACATCAAGGGGTTGTTGGGTTCCCAACAGGGGGTTAGTGGGTTTTTCTGCTACCCCGCGGGGCCCCACCACGGTGTTCTCTCATCACCCAAAAAATCACACATTTTCTTCTTAGACCCCAAAATTTTGTACACCAATTTAATTAAGCATTACACGGCTTAAGGTTTTCACTTAAATAGCTTTAAGGGGATCCTTCCAAAAATTTCCCTTTTAAAAAGCTTCTTCGGTTTAAGGGGGTGTTTTTAAAATGACTTTTCAGCTGCTAAAATGATGAAAAAATTTTTAATTATAGAAAAAACCCTGCATAAATTTTTTTTCTTTACCAAAAAGTTTTTTTTTTTTTGTTTAATAGTTTTAAATTCCCGTATATTACGAGAGGCAAATTTAAAAGTTTTTAATTTCAAAGGGGATAAAAAAATATTAATTAAAAACTTATCCCGGAAGGAAAAAGAGAGAGAAAAAAGGGGGAGAAAAAATAGGAAAAAGAAAGGGGGAGAGAGAGAGAGAAAGAGGAAAAGAAAGAGAAGAAAGAGAAAAAGAGAGAAAGGGAAGGAGAAAGAGACAAAAAGGGACAAAAAGGCAGGGGGGGGAGGTGCATTTCCCCTTTTTAAATCACTTGACCGGAAAAGGGGCGGGGCCCGACAAATTGAGCCCAAGATTGTTGGAAAATGTGCGACGAGTGCAGCACCTTAACTCATCTTTTTAGAAGCCTAGTACAGTTCAAAAGGCCTCTCCCCTGGAAAGAGGCAAAAGTAGTCCCCGTTTCCAAAAAAAAGAGAGAGCGAATAGACTACAGGCCCGTGTCATCTGCAATCATGGTAAGATCCTTGAGACAATAATTCAAGACAAATGACAATTTTTTTTATACCACTCAACTTTGTGATCTCAATATGGGTTCAGGGAAAGGGTTCTCTGCGTGATCTGTTGTTAAACTCTCCACTAAGTGGACCCGTCACTGGGTGAACCAAAATCAGCTTGGGTAGCATGCATTTCCCGGCGCTTTTGACCGGGGGTGGCACCGGGCCTCTTTGCAAAACTTAAAACATGGGAATTTAGGCTTACGTATGCTCCTCAGTGATTACCTTATGGTAGTCTTTAAGTGTAGTCCTCAATGGAACGGAATCAGCAAGGGATCCCATTGGGGCAAGCGTTCCCCAAGGAAGTGTGCTGGGTCCATGTTATGGAATGTCTACTTCAACGGACCTTCTTCATCTCATCCCAGAATCACATGCATATGCAGACGACTGTACACTGGGCATTCACTTATCCAAGAGAAGAAATGCCAGCTGCTCTAAGCTACATCAATCACCAGTGAGAGCTATATCAGCTTGGGGAAAACAGATGGCAAGTAACATTTGCACCTGAGAAAACGCAAATGATGATCGTCTCTAGGCACCATGATGGTAATCCTGGTGCAGTAGTAAGGATGAATGGGAGGGTGTTGGCACCTGGAGAAGAAGTTGATATCCTTGGGGTGAAATTTGACTCCAAACTAACCATGAAGAACCATGTTGTAAATCTTGCAAACAAGGCAGCCAGGAAGCTTACAGCACTTCGCCGTATCTCGCTCTACTTGACAGTAGGAGTTGCAAGATCCTGTACGAGGCACAAGTACGCTGCACCTTGAGTATGCTCCACTTCCTTGGTTTGCCTGCCCCCCCTCTCATCTGCGACTGCTTGACAGAGTAGAGAACAGAGCAAGACGTCTCATCTCTCGCCTCGACCCATCCTGGATAGATCTGTCATTTCAGCAGAGCCTTCAAATAGGAGGGATGTGGGTGGCCTTAACTGTTATGTACAAGGCCAATATTGTCAAAATACCACACTTGGATCCACTTCGAGGACAGGTGTGAAACAAGTTTTATGCCACAAGACGGGCAGAAAAGCAGCAACTTCACTCTGGCTGTACCCTTCTCCAGAACATCACTCCATCTGAGATCATACATACCCAGGATGACTCGAGTATGGAACACATTCGTACAGCATAATGATGTCAACGAGATAACGTCAGTTGATCAAATGAAAATGCTGGCCCACAGATGGCTCCAACTTCATCCTGTTCCCTACTTGTATGTCTCATAACAATAAAAATGCTTTCAAATGAGCTGATGTAGGTAAACAGCTCTTAGCTTGCCAAATAAAGTTAGGAATCCTTAACCTGTAAATAGCTGTCAATAAAGCTAGGGATCCTTAACCTTGTCAAACCCTGTGTAAAAAAAAAAAAAAAAAAAAAAAGAGAGAAAGAGAGAGAAAGAGAGAGAAAGAGAAAGAGAGAGAAGAGAGAAAGAGAGAGAGAGAGAGAGAAAGAGAGACAGAGAGAGAGAGAGAGAGACAGAGAGACAGAGACAGAGAGACAAAGAGACAGAAACAAGCTTTTATGCCAGAAGACGGGCAGAAAGCAGCAACCACTCTGGCTGTACCATTCTCCAGAACATCACTCCATTTGAGATCATATATACCCAGGATGACTCGAGTATGGAACACATTCGTACAGCATAATGTCAACGAGATAACGTCAGTTGATCAAATGAAAATGCTGGCCCACAGATGGCTCCAACTTCATCCTGTTCCCTACTTGTATGGCTCATAACAAAAATGCTTTCAAATGAGCTGATGTAGGTAACAGCTCTTAGCTTGCCAATAAAGTTAGGAATCCTTAACCTGTAAATAGCTTGTCAATAAAGCTAGGGAACCTTAACCTCGTCAAACCCTCTACGCAATCACCAGCTGAGAGCTATATCAGCTTGGGGAAACAGATGGCAAGTAACATTTGCACCTGAGAAAACGCAAATGATGATCGTCTCTAGGCACCATGATGGTAATCCTGGTGCAGTAGTAAGGATGAATGGGAGGGTGTTGGCACCTGGAGAAGAAGTTGATATCCTTGGGGTGAAATTTGACTCCAAACTAACCATGAAGAACCATGTTGTAAATCTTGCAAACAAGGCAGCCAGGAAGCTTACAGCACTTCGCCGTATCTCGCATCTACTTGACAGTAGGGGTTGCAAGATCCTGTACGAGGCACAAGTACGCTCGCACCTTGAGTATGCTCCACTTTCTTGGTTTGCCTGCCCCCCCTCTCATCTGCGACTGCTTGACAGTAGAGAACAGAGCAAGACGTCTCATCTCTCGCCTGGACCCATCCTGGATAGATCTGTCATTTCAGCAGAGCCTTCAACATAGGAGGGATGTGGGTGGCCTTACTGTCATGTACAAGGCCAATATTGTCAAAGTACCACACTTGGATCCACTTCGAGGACAGCGTGAAACAAGCTTTTATGCCACAAGATGGGCAGAAAGCAGCAACTTCACTCTGGCTGTACCCTTCTCCAGAACTTCACTCCATCTGAGACCCTATATACCCAGGATGACTCGAGTATGGAACACATTCGTACAGCATAATGATGTCAACGAGTTAAAGTCAGTTGATCAAATGAAAATGCTGGCCCACAGATGGCTCCAACTTCATCCTGTTCCCTACTTGCATGTCTCATAACAATAAAAATGCTTTCAAATGAGCTGATGTAGGTAACAGCACTTAGCTTGCCAATAAAGTTAGGAATCCTTAACCTGTAAATAGCTTGTCAATAAAGCTAGGGATCCTTAACCTTGTCAAACCCCGTGTATAAAAAAAAAAAAAAAAAGACAGACAGACAGACACAGACAGAGAAACCCTGAACATTTGCGCGCGCGCACACACACACACAATGCTTTTGAAAAACTAGAATTCACAATACAAATAATGTACTAGTATTAGTGTTGACTCAAATTATTACTTTTTATCCACTATCTAATTTTCAGTTCTTGCTGTGCCTGATTAGGATATAATTATGCTTTGTTACTCAAATCACTAGTACAAGGGATAAGGTGATTGTACATGGAAGTAAGTGATTAATCTTCTCTGCTGAGTAAGTTACTTTTACAGAACCAAGAGATTTCAAAGGATAAGGTGGCAGTTCTGCAGACATTCTCCTGCTAATCGTTTTCAATAACCTTAAATAAAGCACGATTTCAACCAGTGATGTTTTTCTCGATTTACTATATTTTCTTAAAATGCCAGTGTACTCTTAAAGTATTATGCAATCAACTGGCCTCCCTCATAGCAGCTAGATATGCACACCAACCATTTTATTTGGGGGGGGGGGGGAAAGAATAAAACTGGGAGGTGGGGTAGGGGCTCTTTCCTGGAACTTATCAATGAATATTTTCATACAATTCACAATGGTTCATCCAACAATGCCAACCCCTCCCCAAAATAACTGTACAGTAACTAAAAAGTTCCAAAATTTACTGACCAAATTATGCCAGAAATGAAGAATAATCACAATACTATATAGCTAAAACAATTAACAAATAACCTCCACATTGTGATTGATTTTTCAGTCAGTCACAATTAGGGGCAAAACCAGAAGACAGTCAGGAAAGAGGGAGGGAAAAGAAACTGTTGCAGTTGAGTACAATATTTACAAACCACTCTTGACCTTTCAGATCATGCATCATGACTAACATGTTAAAAACAAAATTAAACAATAAAAGCTACAAGCATGAATGCAACAACACACACACTATCATATCTAGGTAAAAAAGCATCAATTAAAAACCATTAAAATTAATAAAAGTCCTTACTGGCACCCCAACAATGATTAAATCATGACAAGGCAAAGGCTTAAGCCATGGACAAACACGTGAAATGTGATGT